CGTGTACAACCATGAATCTGAAAATTAGAAATCGTATCGGCCGTCGCGTGGTGTTATCAGCCGTGTCACTTTACTCGCTGCGGATAGTGAAGACATCCTACTTCTGATACCTTCCTTCTTACACTTTCGTGTATTCCATGTTCTACTCTACTCCAATCCAACTTGAGTACTATCTCCACAGTTCTCAGCACTAGAACTGATGCTTCATTTGCTCATACACTAAGCTGCAGCTCCTGGATGACCGGCTTCGGTAACAACCCTGAACACTTCGAAGTCTGTTTTCAAACGCCGAAAGCCGGTCTAATTAACTGCCTTTAATGTTCGCACACTGAAACAAGAAAGACAACAGGTGGTTCTTAGCCGTGCACTCGTTTTCCCTTGCACTGATGTATGCTGTCTGTCAGAAGCAATGATGCAGGATTCAAGTACTGTAATTGAACTGACTGCCCTGTCGCACTCTTCCAGGTTCCTGTTGCGCACGCCTGGTGATAAGAATCCGCTGCAGCCGGATATGTCTGAGGGTTTTGTATTGAGCGACTAAGTGGCAGCGTCTCTACGTTTCTGAGACACAGCACACATCAATGCCAAGCGAGTCGGGTGCGTGCAAGAGTAGCTTGTTGTTCTGCTTCAGAGTGCGGACACCGAACGCGGCCAGATAGACTGGGTGTCGAGGCTTGAAGATTGATTGCGAGATACCTGAGGATGTCGGCACCATGTGACGAACATATGCTGCATACGAAACCGATGCATGACGAACGGAGTCATCAGTCCTAAGTGCTGGGCCTACAAGGAGAGAGTCATTAATGGGGTGGGGAGAGAGGGAAAGCGTGTCGTGTGAAGGAGAAAGAAGGGAGGCGTCAGCAGTAGCGTATTTTCGCTTACCCGCCCTGCTGTATGCAGCAAGTAAGGCGGCTGATGGCAGATACTGCCAGGGCGCCCACACCTAGACATACTTTCAACTACCTGTAGGTCCACCTATCTCGCACTAGCTATAATCGTATGCGAACTACCATCAAGTGACTGCCCTTCCTTATCCTCCCCGTTACCACCTGACCCAAGACACAAAAGGTTTCATTGGGCATCACCTTTCTACGTGAGGAAGTATAGCCGACTGGGCTATGGACTATCATCCGGAGACGGTAACCCTGAAGTAGAGACTCGGCTAGCTTCAGTGACAGTCGAGATTACAAACGAACTAGCTAAAGGACCGTCATGGCGGTTTAACTGATCACTGTGATAACGTGCTGATGGCCAATCATCGTTTAGAGTTGGTAAGATGATGTTTGGTCCGTGATCCAGACTGCGTTTGAATTGTGTCGCCGATAATTTTGCACCGGAGGGCTGTGTTCAAGACATGCGAGCCTACCGATGACTCTGAACCCGAAAAGGCACTACGGCTGTCGAGATGGCAAGTGATACGTTCGCCGAGCTGGGCAACCACCTTGCAAGCGTTTCGTCACCATACGAGGAGATACCATCGGCACGGGTTGGGTGGACAATTTGTCCAGGTCTACTTGCACCTAAGCAGTTCCCAAAGACTATTTGATATCTCTCATCTGATTGATATTTGGAAGTTTCGCTTGCATGTGGTTTTGACTGGTCCGTCTCAAATAAACACGGATCCCAATCGGAGAAGTTACCGACTAGGAGGGTGATGACCATTGCGCCCAATCTTATGTGAACTGTTTCATTTTCTTCAATTTCTTGGGCACCCTGTTACAAAGGACGCAGAACTTTGGTATGATGCAAATTTGGTTTCAAACTCGAGTTCAATCACACTGACTTATCGTGAACGCTGTACTCAACAATTGCGAAACGCTGTTACAATTTCTGGTCGAAAGAAAATCTGGCCAACAAAAATGGCTGGCTGATTATTATCAATGGAACTCGGAACTACCTTTGGTAAACCTTCTCATGATTTCAACTTGATTTTATACCACAGAAAAGTGTGTTCACGTATTATGTGAAAGGCATAGGCATCCGCGTAAATTCGTATCTTCAGTCTCAAATGTTTCTGATTGGATTTACTCCGGTCAGTGAGTGGACCAGTCTTTCATCTTGGTCTTATGAGACGAATAGGTCGAATTTGGCTATCTGGAACACGGCACTGATGTGTTGCAAGACCCCGACTCCTAGCAAAAAGGAAAAAGGAAGCCAAGTTTGCCCCGCTGTGCAAACCGGCCGTTTTTGCCTCTTCTGGGATTGCCTGATGCGTTCTTTTCCACCAAGACCTTTAACACCATATCAGAACCAACCGATGTCTCGTTTTTTATCACGGTTGATGCCAATTATATCATAGCATAAACATGCTCTACATACGGTTTCACGTTATGTGGCTCAGGATCACTATTCATTCTGACATATTCTTCCATCTCTCTGCACTCCAGACGTTGTGAAGTTTTTAGTGCTTCCAAACATCAACCGTCAGTTTTCCACAGCTTTGATGCACCCTTCATTTGATTTCAGCAGAACTTAGGAGGCTCATATTATCCGTTCACTTCAGTGTCCCCTCCCCAATATCCAATCAATCTGAAAGACAATTGATATTATCCCTCTGTATATTTTCCTAGAAGTCCTTTAGTGGCCCAGTCAGTAGTTGACCTTGTCCTAGCCCGGACAACGCTTATCGATTTGTGTCACGTCAAGTGAGTGCACAATCAATCCACCTCTACTGAATGAACCCAATGAATGTTGACCTTAAGGTGGATCGATACCTCACAGTTGAGTAGCAGTTAGATTGTATGCCCGAAAGGTGCAAACAATGACGGTTGCTGTATTTGTTTACTGGATGCTTCTTCTGATCATACATCCATAGCGGTTCCAACAGTGTTTCGCATCTGTCTAGCGTGTTCACAGTGAGTGGATATTTTCGTTGTTTTTGTCACCTTTCCACCAAATTTCCTCATCGGAGTGTTCAGGAAACCAAAGAAAAGCATGGGTATAATTGTATTTTGTACTCTTTAGTAATAATACTAAAAATAATCGTTCAGTTGTAGCGCCTTTTTGGTGCCTAGCTGCCATGCCACCGAAGAAGGCACTCCCAGGTTGCCCAAGCCTAGACAGGGGAAGTCGAGAGACGGAGGTCAGGTTCAAACCACGGACCTTCCGGTCAGCGAATTCGCGCTCTAACCACTGAGCCATCTCGTCCCCGTGCTGTTTAGTAGTCGGTCGGATTCTTGCGGACCATACTTTCAGCAATCTTGTCACCGGGACTTCAGTTTCTTCTCGCAAATCCTCTTCTTTTTTGGTTTCGTTGTGCGTAACTTGTCCCTTAATCTAACTCTTGCACTGATCAACACTGCTTTTTCTCTTCTTACAGTGGAGACGCAGATCGACAGAAGGTCTTTGTCCGGCGCTGTTTTTTGCATCCATTTTAGGTAATACCTCGTACGGCTTACAGATTTTCATCACCTCAACTGAGCCCATCTTTCTGCTTCAAGCCCTCCCCTGGCTTGTTGGAAGCGTCGGCGTATTGGCGCTTGACTTGACTGTAAGTGTTGAATCATTTTAATAAACTTACTTTCCGTTCTGCCAAAAACTGAGGCTTCTGGCAAACTCAGTAACTTGTTTTAGCTTCAACTAACACCAAACTGGATATTGCGGTGGGGGCAGAGTTTAGTCGGCTCATCTATGTAACTGTGCACTCCATAGTTAGGACAGTTTGCATTCCGCTAGTCAGCCGACTACCGGTCTAATGAAATTCGTTTCATTTCTTTCATAACGATTAATCGTAAGTTTTAAGTGGGTCCTTCCGGAAAGTAAAACCTTTAGATGAGGAGCTTTTCGTCCTTCTGCTGTAACACCCGGTGCCTAGCTGCCATGGCAACCAGGGGAAGCACAAGGGCTGAGACACTGCCAGGTTGCCCAAACCTCGACAGGGTACGTCGGGAGGCAGAGGTCGAGTTCGAACCACGGACCGTCCGGTCAGCAAATTCGCGCTCTAACCACTCGAGCCATCTTGCCTCCGATTTCCTTCCTGAACTTGTTTGTTGCGGTGAATGGTTTCTGGTCCATGGACACCATGGGAAATACGAACCACTGGTGCCCATTGTTGTTACCTAACTGGGTTTGATGTGAACGCTCCAGGTCTGTCTCCTGAGTAGGTCTTCGACAGATGTTAAACAATACGTGGAATATGTTTATAATTTTTGTATCTTAGTTGTATTCTTAACGTCCCAGGTGTCTGCCAAATCTGAGTTCTTGACGGTATAAGCTTGTATCTTTTAAGACCATAGTTCTCAGCACCTCGTCTTGCTTATTCAATAATGAACTTTACCATACCTTTGTCAGCAGCCATGAACCGACCCAGAGTCCGAGGTGGGCTGTTGGTCGTGAATAGCAGCCACCTTTGGTAAACATAGGTCATTGTAACTGCATTGCTAGATGAACTCATGACGCCCACCATCAGACTGGGTCATATCGTATGCCCACGAGTAACGTGTCACCACGAACGTTCATTGATGAACTCGACAGGAATCCTCCTACCCACATTATAAGCTCAACCCAAATATCTCATAATTTTTTAATGTTTGGGTATCAGGTAAACATAGGTCATTGTAACTGCATTGCTAGATGAACTCATGACGCCCACCATCAGACTGGGTCATATCGTATGCCCACGAGTAACGTGTCACCACGAACGTTCATTGATGAACTCGACAGGAATCCTCCTACCCACATTATAAGCTCAACCCAAATATCTCATAATTTTTTAATGTTTTGGGTATCAGTACTCATCAAACGTCCTAATTACGATGGTTTCTACTCTGATGTTTCATTTTGGACAAGCCATCTTTCCTGTTCGGAGTTTTCTTTCAATAGTTATTTTATGGTCAACTCAGGCTACTTTAGTGACCTCGTACCTCATGCAGAACGAACAAATGGCTATTTGTAGGTTGGAAGCACTGGGGTTTTTTGTTAAATAAGCATGAAATTACTGGCAATGGCGATAACCCTGGTGTCACGAGATCTTTTGTAGGAATACGATCAATAGTATGAAATCGAAATACGTTTGACACATTTTCATCTCTGGTTGACTCTTCGGTTTATGACGTATTCCAGTCGCTACTTTTGTTTGGGATCGCCCGTTCGGACCTGCTTGTTATTCGGTGTGGTGGGGGAATTTACCCAAATAGTTCATTTATCTCTGACAACTACGCTGTTTCCCTAAATCCTATTAGCTGACCTTTTTCTCTTTGTGCAGATCTGTTTCCAGTTCTACTACTTTGCCCGACACAAGCCACGCCAATTCTCCCCGCTTGGATCTGCGGCTCAGGATGAGTCTTTATCCAACTCCCTGAGTTCATAATCCACCAAGTAGCAATTTACTTACCTGCTACAACCCCAGTCGTGATTAGTTGGGCTATCTTTTGATCTGGTGTGAAATCTCCGTCTATTCCTTTGTACATATCCTTCTTTTGTACTTAACTTTGATCTGTTACGAATCTCAGTTTCTGTCAGATTTTATTCTAACTACCTGTTGGCAGTTCGCATTCATTAGTCCTTTGTATTTTCATTTACGCGACTGTTTCATTATTTTGGATCCGTATCGCCATTTCTTCTTTTTTTGAAGAAATGCATTCTCAAACGATCTGGGTTTTTTTCTTCCCACACATATAAGCACATTTGTTGTTGATTTCGTCCCGTATTTTTAATGGTCCTTATCCTGTCATATTGCGACTAGTCTGATAACTGTACAACGATGGGAATTACTACACTCATGTTCCGCCCTTCTCAGATCCAAATGGGCTTTGACTTTAGCATAACATCACTCAGCTGTGAATACATTTAGTCGTTCAGATATGATTATTAGTGTGCCTGTGGAGCAGTGATAACAGACTTGTCTTGGATGTCCGACGATCGGAGTTTAGTTTCCGCTACCGCTCAAATGATAGACTATTGAATGACCGTAATGAGAACAAGCCTCTAGTCCAAGACTTCGTCATAGACCACCCTGACCAGCAACACCAACAGGACTCTTTGAACAAGATTAATGCGGATGTAAAGCTCTTATTTGTGCTCCACGATACTACGGCTACCAAGCACTGTCAGGGAACTCGCTGCGGGCCGTGCCTACATCGAGAAACCTACGGTGCAGTATTGAACAGAGCCGCTATCCTTGATTCAACAGTTCCTTGCATCCACTCAGTCAGTCGAATCTATCTTCATAGGCTCCTCCTCGGCTACCTTCGCCTGATTTCCGTCTTCTGAAGCAACGTACCAGTGCCTGCAGCCACATTAGGGAGAGCACCTAATTTACTGGTACCCTCATCACTTGCTCCGTGTGCACCGCAGATATATTTATTGGAGTGCAATAGTTGAGCACTGTGCGAAATTGTTTCTCGCGATCATCGCTAAAAGGTGGAAGGCATGAACCTGGGTGAACGCACCAAGTGCGCGGCTTCTGAATTACCATAAAAGGCTACTCCTTATAGATTCTTTGAGGCGTCTTACAAAAAAGTGGGCCGTATGTGGTACCATCAATCTTAGGCCTTACCCTTATCAGTCGGTGGTGCAGGAGATCCTCTCGGTCCAGTTTATATCATGTGACCGTTAACCCCTTCCCATATCTCTACGCATGACCATAGATCCAGAGAGCCGGACCATCAACACTTTTTTATCACTCCAATTTATTATATAGTTTGGAAAACGTCATTTTTGAAGTACCTCCCAAAAGATGAAGAGAATTTAGTATATCTCTGGCTGATTTTTTGTCATTTTCATTGTTGGAACGCTCCGTAATGGAGCAAACTGTGGAGCAGATATTTGACTTGATAAGGGAATATGAAAGATCCCGAAAAGTCTGGGTTCTGTTGCTGCCGTGTCTCTTAGAGTTCAGTGCCTGTGAACCTTTTTGCGCTTGGTTGGTTGACGTGCTGTCGTTTTCCGTCCCAATAAACTGAGTTAGCATTTATAGTTACCCGTACCTCGGAGTGATTACGTTGGGTTGATATGAGGACCTTCACTGCCCTCTCTTCATCTTTCCTCTCTCCCCGGCAAACCCAAATACATTAGACCACAACCTGAAGCTCTCCGAGACCTTTAGACTTTCCAAAGGGAAGTTTCCAGCCCCACGGCATTGAAGCGCCAACGTCATTAATAATGGTACTGTCCATGCTGATGCTATTATTAACATTAGACCACTCATTGTCTGTGCCTATGGGGCACTTAAGTTAATTGAATGATCCAATATACTCACACTAATCTCGTTTGAACAGTTGTGTTCTGGCATATTATTCCGGTTGAGTCCACCCGACGAGGAGAAGCACTAGACTGACTCCAGTTTTGCTTTCCAAAGGGAAGTTTCCAGCCCCACGGCATTGAAGCGCCAACGTCATTAATAATGGTACTGTCCATGCTGATGCTATTATTAACATTAGACCACTCATTGTCTGTGCCTATGGGGCACTTAAGTTAATTGAATGATCCAATATACTCACACTAATCTCGTTTGAACAGTTGTGTTCTGGCATAATTATTCCGGTGAGTCCACCCGACGAGGAGAAGCACTAGACTGACTCCAGTTTTGTAGTGCTAATCTTGTTAATGCCAACTGTCACGATGGGACATGCAGAGTCCTTAAACCTCGGATAAGCAGAAGGCTGATGAATGACAGAGAATGCTGGTGGATTTTGAAATCCCAGGAGATAGAGAAGGCTTTGGCTACAGGAAACTAGACAAAAGAAGACTGGTATAAACGAAACGGTTTGCGAAAATGGTGACACAGCAGCTCGTTCCGGAACTGTCGTCTTGGGTAATGGACTGAACACTTCAGGAGACATTTTGGCCGTATTTTCTTAACATGATCCCTAGAAGGACCTGACGGAAGTTTACTGACTTTGGCACTTTAGCACTAGACATCGCTCCTCCAATACGATAACGCGTCCGATTCGAATGGTTTGCAATGGACACTTCAAAGACGTTGATGAAGTCCCGTCGAGTAGTCTGACGACCCTACTGCAAACTACCTGAAACCAAAACAAAGTACTGGCAGGAGGAAACAATTCGACAGTGGTTGTATCCCCCAGAAATAGCCCAAGGCCATCGTGGGAAATCTATCTTGGCATCAAACATGTAGGCGCAGTATCCAAGATGCCACCTTATTTTGCGCAGGTTGATCGATTACCGGTAGAGGTAAATTCGCAAAAATCAAACTGAGTTTTGCCGTAGTACTGACCATATTTTCTACTTGATATGTTTGATTGAACAACGCCGCTCTTCTAAACGTCGAGTGATGGTTTTTGTCGACCAACCTTCAGGAGCTATAGCAGCTTATCGTTCCATCCTCCTCTGGGCGGTGCTGGTTCACGGCAAGCTTTCACCTGAGTTCACCGTGTCCAGTAGTTCCTGGCAAGGCTGCTCCATTTCTCTTCAGTTTGGGTATTATCGTGTTACCTGTGACTTCTCTGCCTGAAACCATGAGGGCCGAGTCACCTTGACGTTCGTTTAAAGAACGTAAATATATGGACAATAAAATCCTCTTCGGCCCAGATCCTTCAAAGGTTCAAGCCATTCGAAATAACCTAAACAATCCTGCTGCCCAGTGTGGTAGTTCCTTCGCACTTTCAAAGTCTAAAGCGCTGCTGCAAGACTGGTTACTCTCGAACCCATATTTGATGCTCGCAAACCAGCCGATCGACGTGGTAGGTAAATTTATATTCCTGGGAATTTTTATAAGTTGCGGGTGACTATCCGGAGACAACTTGGATGGGGAAGGCAAGGGCAACCTCCGACACTGCTGGCCCTTGCTTGACATCAGTTTGTCTGTCTTTGGCAGAGTATGCGCCCTGTCTATACTGTTTTATGGGAAAGACACGTGTTCTGTACGTGCAGAGGATATACAAGACAAACCAAACAAAAACATAGGCTTAACAATGCTGAGTTTGGCCAGATGGTTCTTGGAAGAAAGAACTCTTTCGCGATAGATGAGCTACTCATGCTTCATAGGTTACGCTAGTTAAGAATGTATTCGGATGTCAGAGGACCGTAGATCTTTCTTTGCACAGCCTTTCGCTGATTGGAAACAACTGAGAGCTGGGAACTCTATGACACGGCAACGAAGTTGGAAATTACTCACCAGTAAGCTCTCTCAAGTTGACGACTGTCATCTCCTCGGATGGACTCAGGTCATCGATGGGGATGACTCTGACAGACGTAGGTCAACTACAGTCACTAGCACTGTTGCATCAAAACTGCTGTCTTCGATGCGTACCTGCCGGGTCCATCGTTTCTTAAGAAAACTAGAATGATTTAGAGCGAACGGACTGTGCCGCCACTCCCAGTGTCCAGCTGTTTATACCCTTTCCCTTCATTTTTCGGCAATCGGAAACCTAGCCTAGCATCTGGAACCAACCTATAATTGGTAGGTTTACCGTAGCTGATAAACTGAACTACCTTGGATTGTGACAGTAGTCACCACGCGAAGGCCGATGTGGCATGAGTTTATTTGTGTATGTGCAGTTCATGGTTGAACTGTACAGAGCAGGAAAAGGCGCAAGTATTCTTGGATGAACCGACCAAAGTCATCCCATCCTTTGGTATGCACTTTGCACCCACAAAGTGTAAGGTCATGCTTGTGGACGTGCAGTCACTGAACACGCCCCTTACAATCCAGGGAGAGGTACTGGAAGTTTTGGAGCGTTTCATGTATCTTGGAAGTTGTATTAGTTCTGACTGTAGTGTGACAGATGAGGTGAATGCACGAATCTGCAAGGCTCGGGCCGCGTTTGCAAACTTGAGACACTTATGGCGTCAGAATCGTTTATCCCTAAATCTGAAGGGACGTGTGTATCAGACTACAGTACGGGCTGTCTTGTTGTACAGCTGTGAGACTTGGCCTATTCGAGCAGCGGAACTGAGACGTCTTCAGGTGTTCGACAATCGTTGTCTCAGAACCATA